AAATCAAGCTCTTGAGTCAAATCAAACATGGTATGTGTTTTCTCTACCCCCTTGAAAAGTCCCTATTGGCTACAAATGGCTATATAGGATTAAGTACAAGGCTTTTGGTGAGGTGGAACGGCACAAGGCCAGATTGGTAAAAAATGGATATAGCTAAAAAGAATGTGTGGATTATGTGGAGACCTTCATACCTGTGGCTAAAATGGTCACTGTCAAATTTTTACTTGCCTTGGCTTCCATTTTTAATTGGCCTCTTCTGCAATTAGATGTCTTTACAAGGGGACTTATCTAAATAAGTTTACATGGGATTATCGACTGTTTTTACAGCCAGAGAAGCATAAAGTCTACATATTACAAATGGATTGAAACATGCATCAAGGCAGTGGATTTTGAAACTCACTGAAGCATTGATTTCTTCTTGTTACAAGCAAAGTTAATTTTATTACTTAATGTTTACTTAAAGGCAAGGTACTGAGATTGTAGTTTTGCTCATTTATGTGGATGATCTACTGATTACTGGAAGCAACAAAGGCATGATAGAAGATTTGAAGTTAATCTTGCATCAGAATTTTATAATGAAAGACTTGGGAGAGTTGATATTTTTCCTTGGTTAGGGATAATGAGATAAAAGGAATGGATACTAATTAATTAGCGTTAGTATGCATTGAATTTCATTGAGAAAGTTGCCATGGAATGTGCAAAACCAGTGACAACATCACTGGAACATAACATTAAGCTGACCTTAGTACAATATGATGAGAGTGTGCAGCAAGGGGAATTGCATGAGTTGCTTGAATATAAAAGTGTTTTATTATAAGACTCATTGCCCATTTGATTTATTTGACACATATTAGACCAGACATAACTTTTGTTGTCCATCGTTTGAGTCAGTTTATGTAAAACCCTAAGAAATCACATATAGCAGCATCCTTGGGGGGTGGTTAAGTACATTAAGAAATATCTTGGTCAAGGGATATTGATGGATGCTTCAAACAAGTGCCAGCTTGTTGCATACTGTGACGAAGATTGAGCATCATACCCTATGACAATGAGATCAATATCGAATTTTTGCATCAAGCTTGAAAATTCTTTAATTTCCTGAAAGTCAAAGAAGCAAGCTACAGTTGCATGATCCTCAACAGAAGCTGAGTTTAGAAGCATGGTTGTGGTAGTAACTGAGGTTGTATGGCTGAATGGATTAATGAATGAATTTGGGGTCTCACATCAGCAACTGATGTACCTCTATTGTGACAACAAAGCTTCACTTCATATTACAACAAACAATGTTTATCATGAGTGTACCAAACACATAGAAATTGACTACCGCATTAGAGAAAAAATCTAGAAAGGCTTGATCAAAACTGAACATATCGTCTTTGAAGAACAGTTAGCAGATGTGCTAACCAAAGTACTTGGCTCACAGCATCACAAGCAACTAGTTTCTAAGTTGGGGGTTAAAGATATCTTTCACCCTCCAACTTGAGGGGGAGCGTTGTAACTAATTTTATTTATAGGCTAACTAATTAGTTGGTTAGTTAGTCAGATGGAGTTTTTGTTAGTGTACATAAAAGACTTTTGTAATATTATTGAGATAAATAACAGAGAATTAGTTTTCAATATTGTGAGTTCCTTTGCGATAGCTAGGTCTTTATTTCATCTGTTTGATTGGAACTGTCATGTGAACTACAAACACATTTCAAGAAAAAACTGATGTAATTGTTGATCAATTATGAAGGGAGATCAAATAAACACTGAAAAAAAAGAGTCGATTGTTGGAAAAATAATGGATTAATTGAATTATATTGATGATAATTAAAAAAAATCATGTCATTTGATGAACAAATTTATTAATATTAAGCCATGCGACTTGCTGAATAGAATTATTAATAATAAGTCATGTTATTTAAGGATTATATTGTTTGGAACTTATAATAATAGTAGTTGGGCATTCTTTTCCCCCCTTCCATTTTTTCGTTAAAACATGATTTAATGTCAATTATGAAAGGGATTTTTAATGAGACTCCATTTTTTTCAAAAAAAAGTCTAAACATTGATGGATTACTGAAAAAATCCATGATGATGATGATCCTTCTTTCAATTATTTTTCTAAAGTATCCTTTTGACCTTGATTTAAGGCTGTTTCATCTCCAGGAACATTATATTCACCATAAACAATCTTTTAAGCAACTTGTGATTTAAGAATTGCTTTTACATGAACAAATCAACTATCATAATTGTATTTCGCAAGAAGATGATAATGAAATAGAAGCAAACGTTTTTCTATAATCTAACTTTAATATTACGTTGTTGAAAAATAAAAATATATTAATTCACATAAAATAAGAAAAGAGAGAAAACATAATTAGAGAACCTTTATTAAAGATTCTCTTTTATTTTTCACACTTTTAATGTGTAATACAATTGAGAGAAAACATAATTAGATAACCTTTCTAAAATATCTTCTCTTTTATTTTTTACGCTTTTAATGTGTAGTACAATAGGAATTAAAAGGACTTGCATAGATACTAACTTAAAGTCAACAAGTAATATCGATAAATTTTTTAATTAATAAAGTGAGTTTATGAACTTAATTAAATTCATATTTCGATTAATTAAACTGACATATATTTAACTTATTATTAAAAAAATAAATTTATTTTCTAACAATTGATTCGTGGTGCATATTAATCCGGCACATTATGTGACATGAAGATCGTATTTTTTATTTCTTTTTCAACAGACTGCTTATTATATAATATTAACAAAAACAAAAAGTATTTTGAGGGGTATACGTAGGTATGACAAACGGGTAGGGTCCCATCCTCAAATCTATTTAATAATTTCGTATTCACCACTTACTCACCACCCACGACAAGTAAAATTTTTAAATTCACACACGTCTACGTAGGTACATTCTCAAATTCACCCTCACATCCACTATCCAACTGAATACCCACCACCATCTCGTACTCACATGTACCCACTCATACCCGGGTGGGAAAGCTACCTCATAGATTACATAAACTAGTTCTAAATATTAGAATTTGATATATAAAATATATAGAAAAAACAACGGTCTTTAATTCTAAAAATGTATATACCATAACATTTTGTTAAATTACAAGACATGTCCTATAAAATCTTAAGATTTATATAATAATATCTGAAATTATACCTAAATTCATAATGATCCAAATAATTAGAAGGGTGGATGCGACGAGGGTAAAATCTTGAACCCATCACCTACCTACTACTCACGATAGATATAACATTTTACATTCATACCACCCACTATCTACTAAACTTATACACATTCCCATCCCAATTGGAACGGTGCGTACAAAATCTACAAAATTATATTCATTTGTCATCCCTGGGTATATGCCTTACTTTTCTGGATTCAGGTTCTTTTTATTTTACGTGAGCGATGATATTGATGCAACATTCACCCTTGTTTGATTGTTTGCTTTGTTTTTTTCTATTAGGAAGTGTGAATGACAGAGAATATACACAGTAAAGAATTGCATTGCCTTCATATTAGTTGGTACACTGCTTTTATAACAATGGTTTAGCTAACCACTAACCACCTAACAAACTGACTTAGCTAACCACCTTTACATGCACATGTTGTATTAACAACAGTCTAACAAATAGCCATCTAACATTCCCCCTACTCTTCCTTTTCTCCTCTTTGACAACAATCTAACATTCCCTCTACTTTTCTTTCTTGATGAAAAGATGAACACTTGAATCGGAAGTGTCGATGCTTCCTCCCGTTCGACTTGAATCGGAAGTGCCGATGCTTCCTCCCGTTCGACTTGAATCGGAAGTGTCGATGCTTACTTCCGTTCGATTTGAATCGGAAGTGCCGATGCTTCCTTCCGTTCGATTTGAATCGGAAGTGCCGATGCTTCCCTCCGTTCGACTTGAATCGGAAGTGTCGATGCTTCCCTCTGTTCGACTTGAATCGATGTAAACTTTTGATGTGAATCAATATTCAAAAAAAATCTATAAAAAAAAACCTATTCTATAACAAGAATGTGAAACAAACCAAACACCAGAAACATCATTGAAACATTTGGTCCGCATCACCGCTTAGTAAGTTGAACACAACTTCAACAATTCTCCTTTCTGCATATGTTGTAAATCCCTCATTCAACCAGAAGTGTTCGTTGTTCCGATTAGTGATCAAGCTCCAGGTCCAAGTATGAGCGAGCTCATGAGCCACCACCTGCGCGCCACTAGCATCTCCTTTAATCACAGTTGGGGTTAAAAACATCATCATCGGATTCTCTATTCCGCCATAAGGGAAACTCGGTGGCAGAACAAGCAAATCGAATCTCTCCCAAGGATATTTTCCAAACAACTTCTCCCCTTGCATGATCATCTCCTCCGTCCCGGCAAACTCCTTCACTGCAGCATCCAAAAGGCTATCCACCGCTCAGCATAAATCGTAGTCCTCGGCCCAACTTCTCTTGAACCTAGCTCCCAACCACAAAAGCGAACAAATAAGGCGGGATCGGATGGTTCATGTGAAACTGCTCGACTACCCTCGTTTCGGAACTCCATAACGAATTAAATCCATACGGAAAAATATGTGAATGTCCTTCGTCAGAAAACGGTGGTCGCCTTTCCACATGGCTGGCGGACATAACGGCGGATAACTCCTGAGGAATGTTGAGCAGAGCGGTCAAACGGATTTGGGCGGCGGGGGTGTGTTGGTATGGGAAAATGGAGCGGGCGTGGATGGACTGGCATTGAGTGTAAACGAAAGGGTGTTTCTTGTTAAAAGTCTGGGGCGGAGAGAGCCATTGGAGGGCGGTAGATGAAGGGGAAGTTGTAGTATCCATGGCAACTGAGTCACCTGTTTGCTGACTAGACCCATTGTGCACCGTGAGTGAAGAACTAGAGAGAAAGAAAGTTTAGAAGCATGAAACCAAAAATTCTCAGGACTTTGGCGAATGATACCATGTTAGGAAGTGTGAATGACAGAGAATATACACAGTAAAGAATTGCATTGCCTTCATATTAGTCGGTACACTGCTTTTATAACAATGGTTTAGCTAATCACTAACCACCTAACAAACTGACTTAGCTAACCAACCTAACAGACTAACCACCTTTACATGCACGTGCTGTATTAACAGCAGTCTAACAAATAGCCATCTAACATTTTCCATTCGTTTTTTTTTTCGTTACCAAACATGTCGGAATTACACCCAATATTATTTTGTTTAAAATGATGATGATCGTTCATCAGCTTAGCAGCTATAAATTTCAATCCAAAAACAAAAACAAATACAGATGATCCATTGATAATTTCATAAACCATTAATGAATCACTGCAACTGTTCTTCTCTGTCTTCCTCTTCCAACAGAGGAACCTTACCACGAGATGAACAAGTACTTCCCTGTTCTTTTGCCTTTCCCCATATTACAGCATAAAATCCGATTGATATGACAGTTGCTCCGATAATACTACAATATGAAGAGTCAATAGTCCTATATATATATTGCTTCTCAACTAATTCTGCTCAAAATTGAGAAGAAAATAAACAGTTTAGGGTACCTTCCAAGATGCAGAGAATCACCAAGGAAAATAGCACTCATAAAAGCAGCAATGGCTATAGACAGTGGACTGAAAATTGCAACGTAGACTGGCCCTTTCAAATGAAGTCCCCATGTGACCGCAAGTGAACTATAAGATTGAAAGACACCCTGCACAATATACAAAACCATAACATCATATACCAGTAAATCACATTAGTCGGATTTGGTGTAAGTAGTCGATACAAATATGTTTCGAATACAAGTTTGTTCGCGATTTTGAAAGTTTATCGTATATTTATCGGGTTTTTCGGTATGTCGGTGCCTAAATATGCATCATGCATAGGTTACAAATTGTAGTTAGTAAAGTAAATTCTTACCGAGTACAGGACTGCAATAACCGCAACACTAGGCCTTAGCCTCCAAGAACTCAACTCAGATTCAGCCATTAAGGAAACTGGTACAGCTACAATCGTCCCACATAAGTTGTAAAAGAAAGCAACAACCAACTCAGCTGGATAAATCTCCATAACTTGGGTCTGGGAAGTTTCCGAAAACCCTAGGTTCAGTTCGGTTAATTTGAAGGTTTTTAACATTGTTGAAGATCCAGGGGTGTCCCTGGATAAGTATGATTTACCTGAACAATGTACCAGATTGAAAACAACATATAGGCAACAAGAAGTAAGATCCCACCAGTGACCCAATTTGGATCTGAGGATTCCAGGGGCCATTGAAGTAAACCGGGAGATGATGATGGAGAGGAAAACACTGTGGGGCCTTTGTAAAGAACAACTAGTAATGCACCCGAAATTGATGCTATGGTCCCCATGATTTTAGCTTGACTGCTGGAGCTTCTCAAGGCTACTGTTTCCAATCTTATTGATTATGGTATCAAATTCAAGGCAGAAACAATCTTGTTAAATATGATGCCCAGTAAACTCAAACTTAAGAACCAAAAACAAAACCAAAATGCATTTGACTATTACCCAAATCGAAGTCAAGCTGAATTCAATAGTATTGATTTTGGTTTTATCGATTTAAGGATTAGAAGAAGGAAGAAACCTGAAAATAACAGCAAGTATGAAAGTAAACGCTGGTGAGAGATTTTGGATTGCAGAAGCAAGAGTTGGGGAGCTATGATTTATACCCTTATAAGCACAAACTTGAGCCGAAAACCTGCCCCCAGAGGGGAATCACAATCTTAGATCTTCAAATATTTCTGGGAAATAATATGTATATATATGAGCACATAAGAAGAGAAAATTGACAGTAAACCAATACCCAATAAGCCCAAGAAGGAAAATTCTAGCGCCGAGGTGGAATTTCAAAGGCGGAAGAACAGCTCTACTGCATTAGAAACAAACAAAATTTCGTTAGTATGGGGTAGATTATATGTGAAAACTGGATGAAAATAAGAAATAAAGATGACCTGGGAAAGAAGAAGAAGGACAAAGGGAGGAGGAGAAGGGCTCCAAGAGCATAAGAGTAAGTGATGAAGATGTAGTGGCTCATCCCCTTTGAAGTTGCTTCTTTGAATAGAATGTTTAACCCTACATTTGCGCATTCTACTCCAGCCATTGCTGTTAATGGCAGAACTTCGTTGTAACAGTACCTTCTGGCCATCCCTGAATCTCCTGTTTTTCACTGTTTTTTGAGAAGAAAAATGGGAAAGATATTTTCTAACTACAATATGCAAAAGGAATCCAGAAGAGAAATTTGTGGCACTGAATTATTGCAGGACCTGAACTCCAACGTCAACTGTTATCTTTTCCCTTTTAATTTTTTTTTTTTTCTTTTGGTCCAATGAAATTGTATTTTTCTGATGATTTTTTTTGGGGTTGAATGTCATTTTTCTCGGCGATGTCAAACTGATGGAGATGGAATAACTTTAGGTTCCTTGTAGTGATTATGGTGCCAATGATTTCCATCCATTTTTTAAAGTTTATATATATATATTTTGTTATAATCTAATTTTGATTTTAATATCTTTTTTTATTTTAAAATTTAATGTAATTAATATTATTAACTGATTATATTATCGTAATTCATAAAGTGATTACAAGATAGTACATGTTTTAAAGGTTTACAAGCATTTACAATGAAAGTTCAAACAATCTTGTAATCTCAGGTACCCGAACCTGAAACCTTTTTATATAGTCTAAGGTGACTACAAAGTATTATTTGTTCAAAATCTTTTTTTAATCATTAACAACGCAAACGTAGTTTTTTGAACCCGAGACTTCTAAAAGAAATAACACTCTTTTTAACTATTGATATCATTTGATGGGTTCAAAATAGTTTTATAATTAAAAATAACTAAAAAGTAAAATTTAAATCCGGAATAAGGTGTTAATAACATTTAATCATCAAAGTAATAAAATTATCAACAAAAATACTTATTTTATATAAGGTAAAGTATGCAAATGGTCCCTCGATTATAGGATGTTCCTTTGTTGACTCCTTTAACTACTAAAAGTTACAAAATTGTCCATTGACTAAAGATACTACTTTGTTGAGTCCGTCCACTATTAAAAGTTATAACGGAGTCACTTGATTATTCATATGTTTTAGTCTCATCCTTTTTATTAAAAAAAATATTGGTCGTCTAAGTAATACGTTAACCTACTGACTGTAATATGATAAAATTTGATCTCAGAATCTCAAACAATTATACAAGTCAAACAATTATGGTACCAGATTTTATTATATCCTACTCATCATGTTAACGTCCAGCTCAAACAACGGTTAATTTTTTTAATGTAAAAGGAAAAGTTTAAAATATATAAATAGTCAGGTGATCATTTTATAACTTTTAATAGTCGATGGACCAAACAAAGTAGCACTCTATAATTGGGTGACCATTTTATAACTTTCAATAGTATGACTCAACAAAGTAGCACTTTATAGTCGGAAAACCATTTGTATACCTTACCTTTTATATATTAATGTAATATATAATTTTTAATTAATTAATACAATTAATTAAATATTCTACATAAAAAATTATTTCAAAATTCAAATATTATGATGTGAATGAGCCAAAAGTTACCAATAAAAATAAGGGTAAATTAAATGCTCAGTACTTCAATTTTTTTTCATTTTTGCACTGAAACTTTATTTTTTCAAAATCGTACATAATGTTTAGTTTAAGTTTCAATTTGGTACCACACTATTAAAAAATTAACAAAATTACTGATGTGATATTTTTAAATTTTTTTAATGATGATGTGACATTACCTTATGGTGACACGTCAACATCACCGTTAAGTTTTTAATGGCGTGATACCAAATAAAACATAAACTAAACGTTAAATATAGTTTTAGAAAAAGATAAAGTTTAGGTATCAAAATAGAACAAAATTAATAGTTTAAATACTAAACATGTAGTTTACCCTAAAAACAATAATATAATTGGTGCATATGTCAGCGACGTGAATGAATTTGACTTGATCATATGCTATCTCCACTATATGCTCATCCATTCATCTTCAACTTGCATAAATTATTGGTACTTAAATGTTATTTTCATGAGATTGCTATATTAAATGATTTACATCCTAAAGATTCTTCTAATAAAGATCAGCATATATTAAGTATATAAATAGAGTTGTAAATTGGTTCAAGATCTATGAGAGATTATATTTTCATAAAACTTCGTTGAAGTTGAGTTAATTATTTATACTTTGAACGTGGTTAAAGATAAAAATGATAATCAAAAGCCATCTATATATTTAGAGACAAACAATTATGATAATGCAGACAATGGATGATGGGTATATATATATATATATATATATATATATATATATATTTTGATTTCGCAATCCTTCTATATTCTATTTTTATGTAATGGATTTTCTCTTATTTGTTCGTTATTTTTTCACGAAATATTTTGTGTGTTTGTTTTTTTATTTCTTCTGATTTAATTTATGTTATTTTTTATTATCTTTCAAAATTAGTAAAATTTTGGCCAAACTTTACTCTCCTTTTCCTATATAAACCACTGTCATGCAATATCCATATACAAACCTAAATTATATACTTTGCACCCTTTGAAAACATATATTCTTCCTTCATGGCCATGAAACTCAAATCAACCCTCCCTTTCGTCCTCATTGTCTTCTTGACCTTCTGGTTACTGGTTTTCACCCTTGAAGCTCGTACTTTACCTCCAAATCATCCACGCCATGTTGTGAAGTCCGGTCGAGGAGGGCAGGGGCATTGGTATATAGTCATCTATGGTGCGCTGAATGTTTAAAGGCAAAGACCTTGAATTTGGAGGCCATTTTTAGTTTTTACTAGGGCCGTATATGTTCATAGAGGAATATATCAAACACATGTGATACACGTGTCGAAATTGAATTCGAAAACCATTATTTTTCATGTTGAAATCAATGCAATGCTGTCTGAATTATGAACTATGATCTCTTGTAATCTGCAATCAAATTACCATCTCTAGAAAGCTATGTTCTATCATATACAACGAGAGCAGAAGAAAGAAAATGATGGAATACAAAGACTGAAGTGTAAATATCAGCACCTGATCTGCAAGGTATCCTCCGTTTTTCCACACGCGTGGCATCAACCATGACGCTTTTGGGCGAAAACGAACAATACCTTGCAAGTCGAGTGCCGATCTCGATAGTACGTAATAAAATTATCTTATACCAGGTAGACCATCCCAACCTCTAGTGTCGATGCATGAGGAATGCTCAAGGCATAAGTTGGTCCTCTAGAGTTTCTTCTTAAGAAATCATATCCCAAATTTATCACAATTTTCTTCATCAAACTTGATCCTTTCTTTGCTCTTACATATGAATGGCCCAGAATGAATGCCATTCCAGCCTCTCTTGCTTCCATCAGTTCCCGCAATTCCTCTTTCGCGTCAATGTCAATCTGCGGACTTTCTGGGACAACGAACCTCACTCTCTTCTTCAACCTTGAAGGGGACTTTGTCATCTTTATCTCTGAAGTGCATACAATTTCAGATGAATCTTCTTCACCATCTTCATGCATTCTTACACCTAAATTCGATGATGATGTCCCGATGACTGTCATTTTTTCGTCATTTTCTGAGTCCATTGTCTGAATACTACATTCTGGTCTCTCTGATCTGATAAATTCAGCAATGCTACAAATAAGATCTTTCTCAAACTCAAGATCATCTTTGTGAATGTCTCGATATCCGTAACGTGTTATACATCGATAGAGCCGGTATTCCTTCGGACCAACTCTTCCTACTAGGAACCTTTCCTCAGGACTCACATGTGGCACTGGAACCGATTTAATGCAAAGAAACACAACAACTTGGTGGAACGCAGGGAGGTTGGTGACAAAGTGAGAAAAAATAGCAGGAATTCCGGAAACAAGCTCGGTGTGTATAAGCCCGATCCCTCGGACCCGAACAATACCAAGAGTCGGACCTAGAGCAAGGAGCCAATTGATAGAGACCTTATTCTGAACATCAAACTCGTATTTCTTGAGTGTGCCATAGTGCCAAACATACATTATGGCTGAAAATATTAATGCAAGTGCAATGGGAACCCGTGCCCCTTCAAGGAACTTGATAAGAGATGCTGAGAAATACAATGCTTCGAAGGAGCCAAAGAAGAATATAAACAATATCGCTAAGAAAACACTTTTATGCCAGCACAAGACAATAACCAGAGACATTAAACATGTTGTAACCAGCATAACCGTAATAACGGCCAAACCTGTTGAATGCAATAAGAAAATGCTGTGAGAACTGATGATAATAATGAGAATGAACTCTCAATAGAAAACAAAATCCATGGAAGATGATACCTGATGCGTTTCCCATCCGTTTTGTGTCTCGAAAACCGACAGTCACTGCCAAGTATAACAGCATTAAAGTCCAGTTGATCTCTGGGATGTAAATCTGGCCATGGATTTTGGATGAAGTGTGAATGATTTTGACCCTTGGGAAACAACCCAAAGCAGAGCATTGTTTGATGATTGAGAATGTTCCAGTAATAATGGCTTGACTTCCCACAACTGCTGCAAATATAGCTATAACCAGAACAGGCCATCTTATTTTCTCTGGTACAGAAACATAGAATCCGATGCGATAGTCAGTTTCGAGAATATGATGCCTCGAAAGATAAGCAGCTTGTCCCATATATGCAAGGATTAGAGATGGATAAACAACGAAGGTGAAAGCAATATGCAGGTAAGTTGCACTAAGTTAGGGAAACAACAACCAAAATCAGCATTTATGAGAGAAAACATGGAAATGTCATATAAGTTACCTTGATAGACAACTGTGAAAAGTGTCCAAGATCAACAAACATAGCTTCAGAGCCTGAAACAATAAGATCAACATTAGAATGTTAGGAAATAAACGAGTAACAAGTAATTTTCCTATAGCCAGATTTGTGAGAATACGAAATAAAAGCGGAAAAATAATACCCGAAAAATTGATAACGGAGTTCAGCCAATTGTGCTTACGTCTCCGGACTGCTGCAGATCTTTTACTAAAGAGAAAAATTACAGGTGTTTACAAAACACACTTGATAGAGAACTGGAAGATTTTGGGATGATTTTGAAGCTAAATGAGCTAGGGTATTTATAGTTGAAACTTAGAGACTAATCTTTGTAAATAGCCTAAAGTTTAATGATTCAATTTTGTAATTAACCCTATTACAAAATAATAATAAAATAAGCAACCCCCCCCAATTCAAGCAGCCGGCTGCTGCTTTGAATTTCAATAATCTCCCAATTGAAGACTGATTTTAATCTGTCTTCACACCT